GGCAATTGAGGGACTCGCCGTTACTGCCGAGAACTATAAAGTTGCAATCGACCTCCTGAAGGAAAGATTTGGTCAACAGGAGCTGATCATCGAAAGCCATCTGTCACGGCTTCTAGAGATCAAACCAGTCCATGACTCCAGGAGCGTCAATGCGCTCAGAGCTTTATACGATGAAGTGGAGACGGGAGTTCGAAGTCTTGACGCCCTGGGGGTTCAATCGGATACCTATGGAACGATGCTCCTTACCGTTCTTCGAAAGGTCGTGCCGGCCGATCTGAGCCTGGAGTACAACCGGAGGTCCGCCTCACGAACAGCGACAAAGCACAACGAGCTGAGAGACTTTCTGGACTTCCTGAAAATCGAGATAGAAAGCCGAGAAAGAAGCTTATATGGGTCAGGACATTCCGTGCCACGAACCGAGGATCAAAGAACCTTTCGTGCAAGGAGAGATCAGCAGAGTCGTTATCCTCCTTCTGTGTCTGTACTAACAACAGCAGCAGGCCTGGATGAAAAGAACTGTGTGTTCTGCAAATCAGGTGCTCATCTGACTGCGGACTGCACATCCTCAATGACCAACGACGAACGCAAGAGTGTTCTGAAGGCTGAAAACCGATGTTATCGTTGCACCAAGAAAAACCATCGAGCAAAGGATTGCAGAAGTGCAAAGTGGCTGAAGTGTGCGCAGTGTGCAGGGAGACACGCAAGTGCCATGTGCGACCCGAACTTCAAGCCTCAGCATAAGACTACGGTAAAAGAAATGGCGAACACCGGTGAAACATCAACTTCGGAAGGAACGACACTCCAGTCAACGCTCAAGATAACAAACTCAGAAAGGAACAGGGGAAAGCGAGTACTTTTGCAGACCGCTCAAGCCTGGGCAGAAGGTGAAAGAGAGCGTTGCCGGATTAGACTTCTCATCGACGGAGGAAGCCAGCGGACGTTTATTCGCCAAACCGTCTCCAAGAGGCTTCACCTGAAGGAACTGGGTGAGGAGGACTTGACTATTTTCACGTTTGGAGACGCAGCAACGAAAACGAAATGCAAGCGAGTGGAACTGTGGCTCCGCAGCCAATACGACAGAAGATCCGTAAGAATAGAAGCCCTCGAGGTTCCTCACATCTGCTCAGATGTCATGAACAACCCCTCCGAGGAACTGCGGGGGCTGCCTGACGGAATGAACCTCGCGGACGTGGAGCTCTGGGGCAATCCATGCGAGGAGGGAATCAGCCTTCTCATCGGATCCGATCACTTCTGGGACATTGTGAACGGCGGAGTCAAGCGCTTGGATGGGAAGCTGATGGCAGTCGACACCATCCTCGGGTGGACACTTCAGGGTCCCCTTACCTCTACTTCTGCGACAATCTACTCGTCAACAACTGGAGTGATGAGGGTGACTGTGTCCGAAACCAACGACGCGGAAAGTTCGGCTCAGCTCAGATCATTCTGGGAACCTGAGCACATCGGAATAGCTGACAACGTGACGAAGATTTCAGAGACGGAGTTGCTCAGCGAATTCAAGAAATCCGTAAAGTTTGAGAACGAACGGTACCAAGTTTCACTGCCATGCAATGAAGAAGGCTGGCCAAGTCAATTGGAAAATGCTTGCCAGGTTGCGGACAACAAAGCAGAAGAAAAGAAAGCAATGGTGTTACAAGTAACTGCACCAGCTCTGTTTCCAGTTTTCGACTTGGAAAGGTACAACTCGGCAACCAAGGTAATCCGCGTAACTGCTTGGATCAAACGTTTCGAGAAGAATTGTGCCAAGACAGCAGACAAACGAAGCGGACCTCTCTCAAGCGAAGAACTGATAGAAGCCGAAACGTATTGGCTTACCATTGCACAACACGAGACCTTTGTGCCAGAAATCACGAGCTTGCGTGAAGACAACCAAGTTGACAGGAAATCGACTCTCAGGAATTTGAACCCATTCTTGGACATCGACGGATTGGTTCGAGTGGGTGGACGATTGCAGCACAGTGACAACAGCGAGAATGTGAAGCACCCAATCGTCCTTACCGCCGATCACCCTTTCACCACCCTTCTCATCGCTGGAGAACACCGTCGGCTGTCCCATGCTGGGGTTCGAGACACGTTAGGACGGCTACGGGAATCCTACTGGATCATCAGAGGACGACAAGCAGTAAAGAAAGTAATTCACAAGTGTTTCGCCTGCCGAAAACAAAGTTGCCTGCCCGCATCCGAGCCAATGGCTCCCTTACCGGCGGACCGAGTCACAAGAAGCGACCCTTTCAGCATCACGGGAGTATACTTCGCAGGACCTTTGATCTGCCGTCAACGGAAAGGAAGCAGGCTACATCGCTCTATTCACGTGCGCTGTTACACGGGCGGTCCACCTGGAGTTGGTGAGTGACCTCTCCTCCGCCACATTTTTGTTGGCTTTCAAGCGTTTTGTCGCACGACGCGGGATCAGCACGACAGTGTATTCGGACAACGCTTTAACATTCAAACGAACGTCGAAAGACCTTGAACTAATCTTCCGTGCCATCCGGTCTGAAGAAGTGCAGGCATACTTCTCGAATCACAGAATCCGTTGGAAATTTATCGTCGAGAGGGCCGCATGGTGGGGCGGATTTTGGGAAAGAATGGTGCGATCCAACAAGGTGTCTCTGCGCAAGGTGTTGGGACGCAGCAGCCTGGATTTTGAGGAACTAACGACTGTCCTGGCCGAGGTCGAGGCCGTCATAAATTCTAGCCCTCTGACGTACGTGTACGCAAACGCCGAGGAACCAGAGGTGCTCTCCCCGGCTCACTTCCTAGTGGGGAGGAAACTAACGAGCCTTCCGCCACATTGACTGCCAACTGAAGCGCTACCAGCTGGAGATCATCTTGCTCGAAGATGGAAATACCGCACTGCGGTGGTGGACCATTTCTGGAGACGGTGGCGGCGTGAGTATCTGCTCGAACTAAGGTCAGCGCACCTGGTCAAACCGACTGCCTCATCGGGACTCCAAGCTGGTGAGTCGTGACCTAGTTCTTCTAAAGGAAAACCGTCTACCAAGACACATGTGGAAAACCTGCAGAATAGAGGAGACTATTCAAGGAAGGGACGGCAGAGCAAGAGCATGTAAGCTGATCCTACCCGGGGGAGGAAGGCTTCGCCGGCCCATTCAACATCTGTACCCGTTGGAGTTAAAAGAATGACCGTGCCCGCTCATTCCGGGGGAGATTGTTGTAAGTTTGAACTCTGACTCGGAGCTCGGGAGGGCAAGAAACAGAAAAACCGACAACGAGATGGCGATAAATCTCACGTGGTACGGCGCAGCGTAAGAACGTAAACAGACAAGACGAAAAATAAGCACACACAAAGAGAAGACACCGATCACGAGGAAAGCACGTGGATGCTCAAGTAACCTCGACTGGCACCTGACGGACTGAGCTTTGCCCGCGGCCTCACGTCATGTTTACACCAGCTCGGGCGAACTTGAGCAAGACGAGATGCCTGCCGCCGCCATCAACCATCTGGGGGTGCGAAAAGTGGACGGGAAAAGAAGCGGAATTTGAAACGTCGGTGAGAGGAGAGAGGAGGAAGACGCGAGCAACAGCCACAGCCCGGTGTGGGAACAAGAGAGATCGAAAACGAGCGCCCCGAAAGAAGCCACGCAAAAAGAACTCTTCTGTGTTTAACAAAGCTTAAGTTGTAGATTAGACTAATAAACAGTTCGTATTGGGTTTAAACCTTGCGGTTGTCATTTACAACAAAGCACTTGGCTCACACACAGTAGGCCCATAGTTCGATCCCTGGCAGCGGCAAAGTGTAACAAATGTTTTAGAGCATTCATCAATATCGACGACGGTTTCTCTACACCATCATTTCAAAGGGGGGTGAAGAGCCCATAACAGCTATCGCTTTAAAATGAGGTTGAGAAAAAGCATGTGAGACGCCTATAACATATTTATTGTATTTCTGTTTTTTTGTTTTTTTTTATATGCTTCTACATAGCAACATTTTTTTTCTTTTTTTTTTTTAATAATCATTTTCTTATAAAATAATTGCACTATTTTTAGGCCTTCGTGTTCAGACGACGATGGGAACACCTTCATTTTCCCCAAGCTTGGAGCTCTCCATGATACGATCATCTCTGGCAAACCTCTGACATCTTCATCATTCCGAAAGATTGTGGAGCTCCTCTTTCGTGCAATGGTGAAGATAACAATGTAAGTAAGGTGGTCTCAAAATTCGGACTTATTCCTAGCTTCATCATTTCCAGTTCCTTTCATGGGTGACTTCTTTGTGGGCACCGGTCAACCTTTGTCTTGCTGTATCTTTCTGTATCCAGCTAAACCTATGTCTTAAATCACAGTATCGAAGCAGGTGAAACTGATTTTTGCAATATATTTGAAGTGGGTTTAATCCCTCTAACCCTCCTTGTATACAAAAAAAAAAAAGTAATTCGGAAAAAAAGCTAGGTTGCTTCTTTCTGGTCCTTATCTTGCCAAATTTTGTGCAGTGGTAAACATAGTAGATTGATGGCTTATTTGCGTTGTTTCACAAGTGCATCTTTGTGCTGAATTTTAGGCTTCTTGGTCGAGACCGCTGCGCCAAAAATGAAATTAGTCAGTTCAGGCTAGAGAAATGTTTGGTTAGTTAGGTCACTTCTTGTCATTTGCTAGAAGCAATCCATGCCCTCGCTGTATTTACAGGTGTATGTGTTGCTGGTGTGTAAAATTAATGGAAGCTTTAAGTAACTTGCTCGTTTTCCTTCAATAGGACAACATGTCTCTTTGTCGAAATTCATATTACAAGAATTTGCTAAGCGGAAAATGTGTAGATATTCCTTTTTTTTTTTTTAAATATCTGAAAATTTGGTGCGACTAGTTATAATCGATTGGGGGTCATTGGCATGTTTAAAACATTGATGCACTGTGTACCATCTGAACAATACCTTGCATCTTCCTCGCGTAGGCTCAGTCTGCATACGGGACCTATTGATTCACAATGTGGGTTATAATATTAGAGATTGTTGAGCCATAAGAATGGGCACGACTTTTCTGCAGGTTCCCATCTCAGCACTTTTACTCCAAGGTCACTCAGCTACTAACTGACAAGTACCCTCAGCTCCAAGATGTTATAGGAACTGGATCAGTAAGCACATTTCTTTTGCACGTTTATAATAATAGCTGCGATCAATTCTTAGCATTGGTGCTTCTATACATCTTTCCAAAAAACGCTCCTAGGCCGCCGCCATGTTGCTGATGCTGATGCAGCTGGCCCTCTATCAGCTAGAAATTTTCTGCCACCCTCTTGGACTGTGAACACCCGCTCAGTGCGGTTCTCTACCTGTTTTGGCGGTTTTGCATTCAACGTTTTCTCGCCCCTCTTGAAAGTTCCCACTTAATTTTTTTTATGAGTGCTGCATACCCTTTCTGTGTTATCTTCCATTGTGATATATAAGACTGGTAAGTGCCTGCCATTCAAGCTTTTCTGCTCGACATTCATGGGAAACGAAGGAAGTGATGGACGTCGAACTGCCCTCAACGCGATTTTGCAAACATTCTTCTCCCCCCTCCCAGAGATAATCCGCATAGAATCCTCGGTCATCTCCAAAAATAGTTGTCTGGGTTGGGGTGGGAAACGGGTCAGTCGCGTTTGTTCCTTTACCTTGGTGCTTTAGTGAAAAAGAAAGCTCTCCCCAGCTCAAAGGTGAAAAGAGTATAGCTGGACGCCATAATTTCATTCCTTGGCGCAGGAACGATTCCCTTGGTAGGCTCCCAATAACTGATATCGCAGCAAAAATGCTATGGCTGGACCTAAATTTAAATTTAGATAGTTGTTCAAGCTGTGGTATTTCTTTATTTTACAGGACTCGTGGAGAGTAGCACTGCGGTACAAGTTCAAAAATGAAAGACGTCGCCTTTCAGACGACGTCCGGGTTGCTGAAAACCGTGCAAAATTTGGATCAAAAAGACCAAATGATGGAGGTGCAGCCACACAGCTGAAGCGGCAAAAAAAGATTAAGCTGGTGAGGGGCAATGTTTAAACTTTCCGGGATAAACTTGGAAGATCAAAAATTGCTGATGTGGTTCGGATGCGGATATCGTGTCTGCATAGTGGATGATCAAATTGTTATCTACGCATGGTTTTCTTTCTACTCATCAGTGTCTGCCTTAGAAATCAACGAAACGCTTCCATCAATCAGATAACGCGAATCGGGAAAACTACAATGGTTTATCCCGTCTCCGCGAGTAGGTGGAAGCATGAAATGCTTTCGAGTGGAAAGGATTCGGAAAGATGATGATGGCAGGGAGCTCGATTCATTCCGATTCGATGGTTGGCACTCACTGGAAGCTCACCTGAGATTGGAGCTCACCTGGAAGCTCTCAAGATCCCAGGCGAGCTTCCATTAAGTGTCAATCAGTGATTTGGAACCAGTGGAGCCTCCTGCAATCGTCCTTCTTCTTGGGTCCTTGTCTCACAATGTCCATAAGATCTGAGAACATGCAGCACTCTAATGAGCAGAAAGAGTACTACCCTTGTCGCACTATGGTTTTCGAGATCACTGGCACGTAAAGCTCCTTGCACATCGCCAAAGAGCTTTGCACATGAGCAATCTTCAAGACTTCGTTAACACTACAATTTCTTCCTGTTGTGCGACGGCCATGTTCAGTAGCATACTTGAAAACCTTAATCTTCAAACCGCATGTTAGCTAATGTATGAAACCATCGTGGAAACCCCACGATCGTGCTGTTGGGGCAACCATAAGCTATAGACATTTGCAGAAAAAGCTCTCTGGCCGCCGCCATTTTGCGAACCAAGCGGCCCCTACCAGCCATAAATTTCTGCCACCTGCCTGAGCTGTGGAAACCCGGTCAGCATGACTCCCCAGCTGCATTGTGCATTCAGAGTTCGCCAACTTTTCTTGGAAATTTTTACTTTATTTGCCTGTTTAGGATGCTTACCCTTTGTGTGCTATCATGCACTGTGAGAACCAGGGAATACCAGGGCTCATAGCCTGCTCGGCCTTCGCAGGAAACAAACGAAGAGAGTGAACGTCAAGCAACTCGCGAGTCGTGACGGAGGCAGTTCGACATTCTTGAAGGATTATTTCCGTTGAGATAATCTCCAGAAAGCCTTCCCGACTTGTGTTCCGAGTCTTCGCGAAAAATAGCTGATAGGGTCGGGTCCGGAGTGTTTGCTTTGAAGCTGTGCAAAAAAGCAGCCCTCTTCTACATGTGCCCAAAACACGCCGGATTCCGTCTGATCGTCGTGAAGTTACTATCGTCGACACTGTTTATTGGATATGCTGTGTTATTTGAGACCTTTCTCAAATCCTGTTCGGATAACGCGGCATTGTGGGGTACGTACAATATATGTTGTTCGATTGATGAGACTCGTTGAATTTCATTTTGTGGGCGAGTAAATCTATGCAGTTTGAATATCCTGTGCGGTCAAATATTTTTGACGGTTAAGATCTTTGTAGATTGACAAGGCGGAGTGTATGGTGCCGTAAAAAGACCAACATAAAATAAAACAAACATCCCAGTTGCATTCGTTCTGTCGCTCACGGACTCACCAAAACAGCTTTCGTTGCTTTGTTTTTGTTCTCAAAAATAGTACAGAGCATTCTTAAAAACCCCGAGAAATTCTATTTGCCATAGAATACAAAAGAAAAATAGAACACGGCAATTTAGCCTCCACCAGCGTCCGAAAGTGTGCCCACGCAGGCTGCCACAGCCCACTGACGAGAAACTCCACAGCTCAGCGCAGTCTGGCAACACTGACTTATCCTCTCAAAACCAGGGATGCCTGCTGTAAATCGCTTCGTTCGAGACTGCCGCTTGAAAGGTCTATAGGCAACTTTCAAAAATCCTGCCATGCAACATTGCATGCGTTGCACGCTCGGAACAGTTGGCTGCGAAGCTGAGTGACATGGTTTCAGTCGAACAGGCGTTGTCTCTGCTTGCGCGACGAAACATGTGCAATCGCAAGTATGCTGAAGTTTCTCTCGCGTAAAACATCAACCAAGGCACCTGCAATTTTTTTGCTTAAAACCTGGCATGCTCGAAACCAATAAAATAGTGGCCAGTGTTTTTTTAATTGCTTGGCGACATTTATGGTATTTTACACTTGTGGGATGTCTCAGTTGTGAAAATGAAGTAGCGAGTTCCATTATGACACAATAATCATGGCAAATATCTGAAGCCGGAACTAAATGGCCCGCTAGTACCCGGAATTCATTTCTTGGCATCTCCTCACCAGGGGCCGCCCCGATTCGGAAAAAAGCTTATTGCAAAATGGCGGAAGGTTCATTTCTTCCCACGACCCCGGCTTGGCTTGGCCACCTGGAGATGGAGGTCGTTCCTTCCCATGATCGTCTAGCTGTTTATCGCTCAAAGTGGCGCATAAAAAAATTTGAACGTTCCCACCTCGTGATACAAAGTTGGGGGTGCATTTATTGAGCAAGGTGCAAGGAAATATGTTATATATTTTTATCTGGACTGTTTCCTTTTTTATATTGTGTGTTTTCTACTGTTTGTGCTCCCGTAGGGTAATGCCTTGGGCAATGTTAGGTCAAATGATTGAATTCAATTTTACCTTATCAGAAATTTTGGCATGCTAAGAGCATCAAGCACTAAAAAGGTAGTCAGTTGTTGTCCTTCTGTTAATGAATATTCATGTCTAAATCGCGCCCTTTCGATCATGCCTCTCAAGAACATCACTGCTTCGGCTTTGGCTGGAGAGGACGAAGCCAGCCTGATCGCCCATGAGGAATGGCTTATACGAGAAGGACGAAAGGCAGCTCCTGATGAAAAAGGAATCCATGAAAGGATGACTCTCACTGCAAGGAAGAGGCTCTCTGACATGGCACAAATGGGCATTGATGCTGTTAGGACAAGGTACCCATACCTGATGGACTCTCAGCGAGTGAGTCATTGCTGCTACTCTTCCGCTTTATTGAATACGAAGGTGTTGTTGACTTTTTTTTTGTACTCTTGTTTGAATACAGAAACTCTTATTGAAGGGACACTGACAGGGTGTTTATGCTCGCCGATGTTTTTAGTTGTACATGGCTTATGAGAACCCAACTGCCCAGAACAGAATTTGAGGCTCAAAATTCAGTTTCTTTCCGCCCGAGGACCGCCACGAGAACTGGCCGGTTCGAGTTGCGCTCTCTCTCTTTGTGATCACGGGCTGTTTTCTAAGGTTTAGACACAACCACCAAATTTAATCAAAGTCGTGGGTCATTGAAGGCACACAGTCAATATTAAAAATAGCAAAAAGATGAAACCCTTTTTTTGTGACTTCTAAAAAGCTGTTAATAAGATTATTGAGGAAAAAAAAAGTTGCACAGAGAACCGGACGCATTCTGTGCATTTCCTCGTTCAATAGCCCTTTTGCGAAATCCCCCAAGCGCCCTGGCCCGCGCGCGAGGAATTGTGGGAGAGACTGTCCCTGGCCTGGCCACTCTGCCTTGAGATCGCATTGCCTCGTCGCTCGTCTCCTCATAATCTTGTTTTTTGATTTCATTACCTATTTTTATATGTTCAAGTGTATATTTATTGGTTCTAAGTGTTTCTATTTTCTTCTGTGCGCAGTATTTTTTGCATATATATAGTTTTTGTCTTTATTATGCCTTTTTCGACGGGAGTGCTGACGAACAACAGGCCGCTTCGCGTGTCGTTCTCCGGGTGAGTGTTATCGTTGCTACTGGTTCCTGTCGTGCTGTTAGCTGTTCATTTTGGTTCACTTGACCCGCGTGCAGTCGTGAGGAGCCGTTTATGAACACCCACGCAGATGTCATAGGGGTAGGCAGACTCTAAATCAAGAATTGCGACGCGAGAGCAGAGTGCGCTGTGATTTAGCCGCCCGCGCCTGCTCCGTTGACTCGCAGTGCAGCGTATGCCTTCGGGTGCCGCTTGCTTGACCAAGATACAGCAAGCTGCTTTGTCGCTGCGAACCATTTGTCCGAATGTTTGCAAAGCTGAGGCATATGCAACGCTGTGGCGTTTGACAACTGCGCGCTGCGGTGCGATCCCTTTGCAAATGCCGACGGCTCAATGTCGCGGCTTGAATGTGCCTATGGCATGCCTTCATAATCTTTCTTTTAAGCGGTTGTCATTTGCCAACGCCCTTTTTCAAGTGCAGAGATAAGTTGCCGCGAATCATTTGTCCGAATGCCTGCAAAGCCGTAGCACCGTTTGTCATATCCAACGCTGCGGTGCCTGACAAACTGCGCTCAGCGGCGCGAGCCCTTCGCAAGCGCCGGGCGGCCCAACATCGCGGCTTGTGTGCGCTTATAGTATGCCTTCTTAAACTACTTGCTAAGCGGTTGTCAGTTAAAAGCACCCCTTTTCAAGTGCAGAGGTGTGCTGTCTCCCAGGCAGTCATCTTGAAACTCGTAGTTCCTTCGATAATTTTATTTCTCTAGTCAAGATGTCAGCTCAAGGTATTTTATTTCTTTAGGTCACCTTCAGCAGTAACATGCCCTCATAGTACAGTTTGCTGTGTGCCAGGCTGTACAAACAGTACTGCCGGCGGACGGCATGTTTCCTGGCACTGCTTCCCAAAAGACAGCGTCCTGCGAAGCGTTTGGGTGAAGACAACTGCGTGCAGTTGTGAGGCGCTGCAAAGTTGGACATGCCGAACAGTGTTACGGTTTCGCAGGCATTCAGACAAATGATTCGTGACAGCAAGGCGGCGGGCTGTATCTTACTTAAGTAAGCGGTATTGAAGGCACATGCTACAGTGCCAGTCAACTAAGCGACGCGAGAGCCGAGTGCGATTGAGCCACCTGCACTCGCTTTGTTGACTCGCACCGCACTCGGCTCTCGCGTCGTGATTGTTGATTCAGAGCTCTGCCTACCCCTATGACATGGGTGCGGGTGTTCATAAACGGCTCCTCTCGACTACACCTGGGTCAAATGAACCAAAAATGAACAGCTAACAGCACGATAGGAATCAGTAGCAATGGTAGTACTCACCCGCGGAACGACACGCGAAGCGGCGTGTGCAGAAGAGAATAGAAACATTTATAAGCAATAAAAAATACAGTGGTACAGATAAAAATAGGTAATGGAAATGAAAAACCGGATTAAGAGGAGACAGGCGACAAGGCAATGCGATTTCAAGGCAGAGCAGCCAAGCGAGGGAGCCTGTTGAGTGTTAGCAACATCCTAGCTAATGCAGCGACCAACGACTTAGTTGGAAGCTATGGTTCACAGGCCAGGTTTGGAGATCCTATCAACTCTATGCCATACTGCATGAAAAGGACTCGAGGGTCCGAAAGAAAAGAGTAAGAGATTGCATGTGAAGAAGAAGGTTTGATATTTCATCAGCGTGATGTCTGTAGTACCAATTATTTCTCTGCACTCTTGCAAGACTTGCTTGGCAAGTCAATAGACATATTAAGAACTTCAGAAGCAAAGGGAAGTTAAAAAAAATAATGTTACTAAAAAAAGAAACTTGCGTATTGTGTGTTCGTATGTTTGTTCCTAAAGCCCTTCCCACACGTTCAAGTTGTGGTAAATGGGGGATTCGGCCAACTCGCTGAAAGCCGACTCATCGACAGTCAATTCGTAGTATAGGCCAATTTGTTGTAGGACAATTCATCAAAAGGCAACTTGTCGAAAGGCAACCTGGGACTGTCATTTAACCCATTCGAGGCCGATTCCTCGAATGGGTTAAATGACGGTCCCAGGTAAAAGTTCATGGTTCCTTGTTATCTTTTGATCTAAATTTTTATTTGTGTTTGGACTAGGGACAGCGGTCTTTTTAGGTTTTAGGACAGTACCTTGAGACAAGTTTAGAAATGTAAATTTCGGGATTGTCCTTTTGCTAGTTTTCTTTATTACTTTTTGTAATGAGCCGCTGCGGACTGTTGCCGCGAAGCAGCGTGGACGGGTAGGCCAAGCAAACTCACACGTGCCACAGTGATGCACACGCGACGTAGTAACTGTCCCCCACTGCACCGTGAAAGTGGAGAAAGCTGCAAGTTGTTATCTTCGACAAGAAAGAGCGCACTGGATGTTTATTACGATACGGCGATATTACGCATTACTATAGGGCAGGATTTGCTTTAACATTTCAGGACAAAATTATATATTATGGCTTTGAAACAGCGGCGACCAGTTGGCGTCTTCGACTAATTTTTCTTCGACGATTTGCCTTATGACGATTCGGCCTATTCGACAAATGGGCTGCTGACGAGTTTACCGTCGATGAGTTGGCTTTCGGTGAGTTGGCCTAGACTCGGTAAATGGTAGTGCCAGTAAAATCTGAATTTAGGCGTTGTTTCTTGTTTCCCTTATTTAAATTAATGAACAAGTGCCAATTTCTTTGTAAATTTTATTAAAGAAATGCCGTGGCATATTTCCTGAACTTTCAATTTTTATATTTTCTTTTGTGAAGTTCGCTAAAGATTTCGAGAGGCTCACGAAGATGAACCTGGCCGACAAAGTCGCAAAAGGGATTGACAAGATCGTTCTGTTGGCCACAAAGAAGGCGATCGACTGCCAGGAGCATGTCCTACTTACACTGCAAGCAGCACCGCACATGGATCTGGGGAGGCTCAGGACACGGCGTGAGTACAGTAAGAAAACCGCTGCGCAAGGGAGGCTTTTCGACCAAGCGATAAAATACCACCATTCAATGCATGCATGGGAAAAGATAGTAAAAAAACAAACAAAAAACTTTCAGTCTTTCTCTTTTGTTGAGGAAGGAAGACTAGCGGAGCTGCACTATGGTGGGAATGAAGTAATGGCCGATCGCTAGTCGGCAAGCCAGAGTGGAAAGGTTGCGGCCATCTATGATGGTTGCTGCCGTCTCCTATATATGGCGGTAGCTGTCCAGAGTTCTGTGTCATCGGGTTATTTGAGGACTGACACGACCCTGGGGAAACTAGCCGCTAACAGCTCCACTGTAAAAAAAATAACCGAGTTTATGTGTGCAACCACGTTGGCGCATTGCTCGGCTGAGAAGTAAGCGAAACTATAGCTTTCAAAATGCGGCCTTTAGGGTGGGCTGCTTTGTGCTGGCCTCCCCTGTATTGAAAGATGGAACGTGACTGGCACTCTCGCTATCAGCGCGCTCGGAAACAATAGTGCTACGTGCTGCAATTTTGCCGCTCTGGTCGTTGGTCGCTCGTGCTAATCTTTTTCTGCTGCAGCTGTACATGCGCAGCGCCTTGGCAGAGGAGAACCCTCTGCCAAGGTGCAGGCAGCGTGGTGGAGGGCCGTAGAGGACAGACATTTGGGCTGCACACCAGTGTATGGGGAATAACTTTGGGAGTTTGTATCATACTCCCAAGGTTATTTCCCCGTGGTGATTTGAATTGTTTCATACCATTTGGTGACATGTCCAATGGCTTATCTATAATATTATGTTGCACCCATTTAGGTCGTTCTGGTGTGTTGCCTTCTTTTCTTTTAGTGGGGACAGGCTTGGCCAAGTGAACATCTTAGTATTTGTCTGAAGTTCCCTCATTGTCACTGATCCTACTGGAAGATAAGCAGAACAATGCATACATTTTTTTTCTGAAACCGTCCAGGACACGTGCAACGAAGAGTACAAAAATGTATTTGATATCTTGCACAAATGTTGTTGGTGTTTTTCAGACATCCTGACTGTTGCAACTCTGCGCATTTTGGCACTGAACGTCAAGGAGTCAACATCACTGCCCCTAATGTTCGTGCAAGAAGATGTAAGTTATTTCACTATATTTTTGCGAAAGTTGATGCTAGCAAGAACAAAGTTCCAGCCTACCTTCAATGTAGCAGGGTTAAATAAATGCTAACTAAAGAGGTTTTTTTGTTGTTTTTTGTGGGTAGAGTGTTCGTTTTTTTTTTGTTTTCACGGTATGTTTTTTCATAGTGCCCGCAGGGGCTAGAATTGGAGCCTTCTGAATACATATTAGTGACCATGTTGATGTCAAAGGAAACAAACATGTGAAATGCACATGAATACAAGTCCTGAAAAACCAATGAAGGCTGGAAGGCGGCAGGCATGCTGATCTTTCTAGGGTTTTCAATACAGAGACAGTGTAGCGTGTTAACTGGCTTCCAACAGTTCAATAGCAGCTTGTTCACCTGGCCCCTTTTGTTAATGGGGTGTCCCAAACATTAGGCCCACCAGGCCCCAAATACTTCTGTAACGCTCAAGAGATAATGGCCACCTAAATTACAGAGATATAAAGTAAAAATTTGAGGCGAACCAAGTTTCGGGTACAATGGCTGAAACGCCAAAAACCTAATAGTCTGGCTTCCAAAACACAGCCATGCTCAACGTGCCTCATGCTGGATTTTCACTGCTCCGGTTGGTGTTCGGACGGGAGAGATATGGCCAGCGACTGCACATAAAATGTAAATGTAGCTCGTGAAAATTAATTTATACAACTACATACGAGACATTGTTATGTTTGCTGTTTTCTGGAACCTTCATCTTTGGGTTTTTTTAGTGTAGAGGAGGAAGCAAAAAAATTAACATTGGCCAACGAACAAATAATAGCATGTACCGTTATGGTCAGTCGGTAGCCCTGTACGGTTCATAAATGCGGGGTGGCGAGGTAAGCAGGGTGCGTCCGTGGCAGACATAGATTGTAGCACCTGAGCTGCCTGCCTTCTGTCGGTGTTTGCCCCCTTTTTTCTCCTTGAAACTTGTCTGCCCTTGGCTATGTTCGCTGATACCGATAAGAACCCATTATTGCACCCAATGAGCGCTGACGACCGATGACACTGCCTGACAAAGCGCGTCTGCGCAAACATCCCTGCTTTTTGTCTTCTCTTCCTTCTGCACGTATTGTTTCTCATCTGTGCATTTGTTGGTGTCCTCTTATCCAAACAATAACCTCAAATGTACACAGGAAGGCTGCTGTCCGCATAAAGAAACCAGGCCACTGTAAAAGTGAGATGTGATAGCAAAGCAAAAAATCACTCTCATGGTGAAAACGAACCAGTGATGCGTCAGATTTTTGGCGTGACTTTTATTTTTTTTATCTCCAGACCTGTACTCATTTCCAACAATAAATAAGTCTAGCAGCGTATCATAATGCATCGGAAAAGTATCTCACTATTGAAATGCAAATAGGTTTCACAAATGCATCTTCATACTGAAATAGAGATACTAAAATATATCTCTAAGCTTATATCGCAATATTTTCATGTCGTGATGTTTCCCCAATTGTAATTCCTCATTCATTTTACATTGTTGCAGATGCCGGTTACTTATTTAAACATAAGCAATGCTCATGGCCTGAACTGGAGTGAATAATAGCAGTTGACAAGAGCAAACATGTTTTGGCCTTCTACATTAAAATATGTTGTGCCTTTTCCTTTTACCTAACGCAGGATGAAAACATCCCACCGACACCGTGTGTCCTGTACAGCGGGCAAGACTTAGAGGATGCAGACTTCTTTCACCTGGTTGTTGATCGTGAGAGGTTGTTCTCCGTTCCAAATGCCGAGGAGGGGCTGTGTATGTTGTTGGCAGCCTATTGGTTGTTCAGTATACAATATGAACGGAAGGCCTTCAACATGCTCGTCACTCTGGAGAGGCTTTTTCTCGGCATGAGCCACACAACTCCAAGGGCAGTGGTAATTAAATTTTTAAACAAAGTTTGCAGGCACGTGCATGGTTGAAGCAATGATTTGTGCTTCAACCACACGCGCATTAACTGCTTCGTTACGGTTCAGTTTGAGCTTTTTCTTTTTTTTTTTTTTTTTTTACGGTGTTAGTTTGCAGGCTCTGTAAAAATGGATGTCCACCCACGGGACAGTGGGGCTTTACAGTTCAAGTAAGGAAAATGAACACATATTTTATTCAACATTTTATAAGTTAATTTTTACAAAATAGGTTTTGGGAAGAATAGCAAAACTGGAGTGATACCGGCAGAGAAATGAGGCTCATTTATTGGTACGAAAATCAAAGAAGCAGTGCCAGTCAGTTTCAGTGCAGAGGTAGGTTTCACAGGACGTGCAATGGTGCTGAGTTTTCTTTGAGGAGCCAGGGTTCCTGCACTGTGTAGCATTCTTGACGTCTTCTTTCTTTGGCACGTGAAGTGCCTGCGCCGTCTGGACTGGCGAGTTCGGCAGTGGCTTGACTCTCTTGCGCGGAACCTGTGGCACCGCACAAACTTTCTAAAATGGCATCAGCCTGACTTGTTAGTCCTGAAAATCGAGCACAATCAATCAAACCAATTGTTTTCACTTCGCGAGTGTTTCAGATTGGTGCGAGCAAAACATGATCATCGCGAAATTCGTGTCATAAGTTTTGGGTCCCAGCGTCCACCCACGTAGACAGTTTGACAAGGGACTACTATAACCCTTGCTAATACTGTTGAAAATATTAAGCATTAGTGACCATCTGTGAACTTTCAAGAACTCTAGAAATATAAATTAACACAGCCTCCGTTTGTGTAAATCACATAAACTGATTACATACCTTGGCGTCGCCCGTAGAACATGCGAGTGCTGCAGGTCGCCATTTTTAACAGCAAGCAACAAGTTTTCAGTGCTGTTTGCTCAACACTCCTCCAGATGGCAGCACAGACTACGTCCATGACGGTGGACAGGCGTCCTTTTCTGTGTGCAACGAAGTTTTTTTTTTTTTTTCTTCTCCTTACAATTCAAAACCCAATGTTTACACTGGTGGACGCAGGGTCTCAGGAGGTTATACAGGGTGTTTCACGAAAGGTGGACAAATTCAATATTGCAAAAACTGCTCGAAGGCTTGTGTCGTTTTGGCCCTGGGCTCGAGGCCTATTTAGGAAAACTTTTGAAGTCCGGGATAATTAGATTGTTAATTATTTTTGAGTAATTGACTTTTTAGTATTGTGTTTTAGGTTATGGTTTCAATTAGAAAATTGCTCAGCATCATTGAAAAACACTAGATCAACATATTACACAACAATAGAAGGCACGTGCAGCATCTTACGACTTTCTGAAAAACCTCACAAATGGGATAGGTTTTTAAGTTTCGGTTTGCTATTGGAGCGCATCTCGACCTCGACGGCACCATGCCCCGTGGAGAAATGGTGCAACCAGCCTCTGCTGCGTTGCGCAAGGACATCGCAGCAGAGGTTGCTTGCGCCATTTCTCCATGGGGCGCGGTGCAATCGGGGCCGAGATGTGCTCCAATTGCAAAACGAAACTTAAAAACCCGTCGAATTTGTACTGTTTTTCAGAAAGCCGTAAAATGCTGTGCACGCCTTCTGTTGTTGTGCAATATGTTGATCTAGTGTTTTTCAATGATGCTGAGCAATTTTCTAATTAAAACCATAACCTAAAACACAATATTAAAAAGTTAGTTACTCAAAAATAATTAACAATCTAATTATCCCGGACTTTAATCATTTTCCTAACTAGGCTCCTCGTCCAGGACCAGAATGACACAAGCCTTTTTTTTGTTGCGACCCATAGTTTTCGCAATATCGAATTTGTCCACTTTTCGTGAAACACCCTCTATGTGGATATTGCACTTTTCGCGACAGTATTATCAGGTTAATTTTTATTTTGCTTACAGAACAAATGATAGAATGTTTTATGGAGGCATGTTTTCTTTTTCTGTCTTTAAATGTATAACTTATGCCGACCTCCTGTAGGTGAGGTATAATTTATCTGTACGGGGGTTCCTCATTCCTAGTCACTTTCCAAAACTTTATAATTTTCTTTGTACTTGAGATTTCTGTGATATTTTTCATTACATGTTGGCAGATAGCATTGTTTATGTCAAGGAATGGCATACATTGTATTTTTTTTTCGTTTGTCTTTTAGGGCACAATAAATGTTCAATTTTACACATTCTAATTGATGTCATAATGAGCTTCACTTACTGAAATACTGCTGTGGTTCAGTCAAGGGCTAGACCGCCATGCTTCCAATTAGTAAATAGATATGCTTAAGGAGATGAGTGAAGCGTGTTTCCTGCAATCCTCTGAGACAAAACTTGGCACTTGATCTCCAAACAGGAAAGCTCCACATGCTTCATTTGTAAAAGCCCATTATGTTTATAACTATGGTTTAGCCGTGCAGTACGATGCTTGGGGCCACTGCTTGCTCACTTGAAGTTCGAGAAAGGGCGGCACCGGAAGCACTACCAGTTGCCCTCAGGCTTATGATGTGGCTTGCAAGTAGCTCTTTTGTATTACTTCATGAAGTGAGTTGCGTTCAATGTGACTCGTTCTTTCTTTATCATGTGCCTTGTATGTGATTTGGCAATACCCCCCCAGGTGAAAAAAAGTAAATGTGTTTAGTAAACATGATAAGCTGAGAATCATGATAAGAATATCCAATACTTTATATGATTTTCGTACAATTTAGAATTTCTGATATGTGTATTGGACACATGCCTATAAAATTTTTACTAGGGCCTATGCTTCATTTCAGCTTTCGTCCGAGTGCGGCAGACACTACCGGCCAATCCAGCATCGGCAGAGTGTCATGTGAGCTTGAACTCCACATAACCAAAACGTTGCATGATACTCTCCCGGCACTGGATTGGCTGGGGTGGCCCAGCATCCACTGGGCCACCCCAGGGGGCGCCCATTTTACGGCAAGCACCCTCTACCAGGGGTGTTTGGCAAGCACCCATTATAAAGGGTGTTTGCCTGAACACCCTAAGGGTGTTAGCCCTGGGACAAACTGGTGTACACCCTTAAGGATGTAAAAACTTTTACTGTGTGCATAAAAGTTTGGGCATGAGAAAGCTGTTGGCGCGATGGATGCCGCGTTTTCTCACTCCGGACAACAAGCGCAACCGTGAGACCACTTCAGAGCAGTGTTTGACGCTGTTTAAGCGCAATCCGAGGGAGCATCTGCGTCGTTTTGTGATCGTAGACGAAACATGGATCCACTGGTACACACCAGAGAACAAGGAAGAGTCGAAACAGTGGACTTCGCCCGGCGAACGTGCTCCGAAGAAGGCGAAGACTCTCCTATCGGCCGGAAAGGTGATGGCCACCGTTTTCTGCGATTCACAATTTGTGATCTACATCGACTACCTGGAGAAGAGCAAAACGGTCACAGGGCTGTACTATGCCGAATTATTGGGCCGATTGGACACCGAATTGCAGAAAACACGGCCCGATTTGGCGAAGAAAAAAGTGCTCTTCCACCATGAAAACGCACCGGCTCACACCTCCGCCCTCGCCACGACCAAATTGGTCCAATTGGGCTACGAACTGCTCTCCCATCCACCGTATTCTCCAGATTTTGCCCCGTGGGACTTCATTTTGTTTCCAAACTTAAAAAAGTCACTCGCCGGGCAGAAATTTGAGTCTAACGAGGAGGTCATCACCGCCACGGAAGCCGACTTTGGAGACCACGAGAAAACGTATTTTTCAGATGGGTTAAAGAAGTTGGAGCATCACTGGGTCAGTGTTTTGAACTAAAAGGAGACTATATTGAAAAATGAATCGCCACTTTTCCAAAATTTTCGTTTTTCTTTTGTAGGCTAAGTACTTATCGGACGACCCTCGTACATACCTAAACTTTTCGTCAAAGGTGTACTTTAGTGGTGCATGCTACCCTGTCAAATTTCAAATTGCAGTTTCCTCTCTTATAGAAGTTAGAAGAATGTTTCTGAAAAGTTCTATGACGGACACCGACCTAGATCAACAGGCCGCAGCGGGGGAGTTGTTTGCTCCTGCTAACGAGAGATGGCGCAAACACTCAAGATGCCGCAACTATACTCCATGTCATTAGTTGCGTGCAGTTTAGGCGAAGTCAACGCCACGGGAGGGGAGAAAGGGCAACCGCTAAAAAGGCCGGGGAGGAGGAGAGAAACCTCCTCCCCTCTCTAACGTTCCTCGCGCTGCTACTGCTCTCTCTTTCTTCCCTCGCCCTCCCGTCCCACCTTCCTAGTGCTCTCCCTTTCTTTGCCTGGCATTGCCTTTGCCTGCACTGCACACAACTAGTGATATAAAGTATAGTCGCGGTGGCTGCGTCCCGTAAAATCCAAATACTTCTCGCCGTAATCTACCACTGTCGGAAATGAAGCACAGTGAGAATTAACAGAAATAAAGAGGGGTGTTACTGGCTAGCAAAGTAAAGCAGACGGCACGCAATCAACATTGATCGGGAGGCTGAGGAACCCTGTTGCGCCGTTTCTGGTTAGCGGAAGAAAATACGGTTCTTACTGCGGCTTGTGCGTCGGCATCACATAACATTTCGGAAAAGTTCTTTGTTCTCACACAGACAGAGTACGGAAATCCAACGTGCGCCTAAAATTTGAAACAAATACGTGCACCACTGAAATACACTTTTGACAAAAATTTCAGCTACACGTGTGCAGGTACCGATTTTTCCGGCTCAAATTACCAGCGAACCCGCTATTTATGCCACCCTATATAGTTGTCCGTCTGGTATGAATGTCGCTGTCCGTGATATGCAATAATTGATGTATTCAAAAGAGGCACACTAAGAAAATAACAGTGAGAGCGCAGGCGAGGTGGTATAGCATTACCATTCCTTTAAATTATCCGAAACTGGGGCAAGAAAGCTATGAAGCATCAAAACGTGAAGAGTTACAGGTACACTAAGTTTGATTACAGCATGCTTTGAGGAGTTCAATTGATCTTCGAAGCACCTTTAATGGTTTGAAGTTGGGAAAACTTTAAACCTTTTCAAATCATAAATTTAGGAAATTGTCGAATTTCCTAGCATAATAAAGTTAGAAAGTTCGAAAACAATAGTATATTTTTTAAATGAAAGGTTTGAAATTTGGAAAACAATAAAATTTCTTAACATAAACAGTTGGAAAGTCAAGAAAAAATATAACTTCTCAACATACAAAGTTTTAATGTTCTAAAAAAGTAGTTTCTCAGCTTAAAAAGTTTGGGAAGAGTCTCATTTCTCAGCATAAGAAGCTAAATATTTTTTCAAACTTTCAAACCCCATGGTTCGATCATGGAACCTTTGTTCAGAACCCCGCGGCATCTCAAGTTTTAATAGTGTCAGTCAGGTGATTGATTTTGG